CGGAAACTCGGGGACTGCGCCTACCTGATGAGCCCCACAGAGGGTGAAACCGGTCGTGAACTGCCAAAGACCTTTTAACGACCTTGTGAGTAGTGCATTACGAATATACAGATATGGTTCTTCTTGATCGTTGTGGCCGAAAAAGTCGAAAAAGAATGATAATGTTGTTTGTGCTTCGGCAAGCAATAATTTAGATGTCGACATTGGTATATTACTCGACTGGACATTCGTATGCGCAGACTCAGTGTTTCAAAACCGTGGTTCTGTTTTCCGCTTCCATTTCAAGGTAAGACCGGATGCAATATAGTGACACCATTTAAGGTAAGACCGGATGCAATATAGTGACACCGTATACTGCTGACCATTTACTAGTAGACTTGCATATCACGCTGAAACCTAATCCCTCACAGACTTGTGAGCCAGCCAACGGGTCTTACAGCTACCTGATTCGTCCGTCGGACTATTGAAAAACCGATTAAGTAGGCCTAATCACATGGCTTTCAGACGCTTGTGGCCGTACGGTAAAGTTCGGATCTTCCCTCAGTTCCGCTGAAAAAGACAGCTGTACAACGCTTCTCGGTTATTCAGCATAGATTGGCTTCGTTTAAGGGATAAAACTTCCACGTCTGTTTTGACCAGCTGCACAAACGAATTTCAGGATCGCGGCTCAACGGTTTCCATAGTGCTTTCGAGAGTGAGCGCTCAACATTGAGATATGGCGCATTTGAACTTCATAGATGAGAAACAGTTTAAAGACGACAATTTATGAGTACCAGACGGAGAAACCGAGAGACAATGATCGCCAATTACTTCAGTAAACACCAACCCTTGCTACCCAAAAGGCCAGTTCTTATCAAAGCTCTCTTGGTTGCAAATATGACCTCCAGTTAAGTAAATCATTTGAAATGTTGATCATATTGATTAAAAAACGGCCGAAGGCGATGTCATCACCGCGTTTTTCCAAACTTTATTAGACTTGGTAGTTCATGCGTTGGCATTGCACATGAATACTGTGATTCGGTGGAACTCAAAGCGTAAAGTATATAGTATATAGTATAGTATAGTATAGTATATAGTATAGTATATAGTACAAAGCATAAAGCATCATCCACCATCGTTGGCCGGATGAACCAACTTAGAATGTCATAAAATCAAGAAATCTAACTGGGATTCAGTGCAGCCTCTTGTCAAAAACAGACTAGTGCGTAAGCGAGTATATTTTGCCAATTAGGGTAAATTCTGCAGCATATTTCAGTAGTAAAAACCCAGAATATTGGTGAGAAGTTGTTTTTTTTGAAGTGGGAGATGTCACAGAAGAATTTACTCGGGGCTAAAAACCATTCGGTGACGCCTAGTGAACATATTGTAGACCATTTTCTGGATAGCTTCATCAAGCTGGTAGCCTTTATGACGACTCTGTACTTGATGATAGTTTTGGGAGAATCGAATGTCGCAAACCCCGAATCTGAGAAGTAGTCACTGGTAACCCACGTGGCCAAGTGATATGAATGTCTCAAGTGACCGGCTGGTGACGCCATATCTTGTCTAAGTGTAATTTAATCACACTTATGGTCATCCTCTCGTGGCCGAATGGATAACTGGTCAACCTACTAGCCAGAAGGTCACGAGATCCAATTCCCGTGGTGGGTTGCTAGTCGCGCCCTGTTGGTGTTTATCAGTAACGATAATACATCCGCACTGTACCCCCTGGTATTCCAATGTAGATTGGTTTCACTCAGAGAAGGAAATCGCCACTGAAATTCATGAATCTCCTCACACCAACAGCAAGCCATGCTCAGCTCACAGGAAGGAGAAAATTTACGCGAAGGATGAAACTGAGAAGTTATCACTCGAAAAGCCAGTCAGTCATCACGTGAACACGTGATGTGATTTTCCATAACTGAAGAATTTGTGCGGTACATCTTGAGTGAGAACTAATCACGCTGCTTTCGGCAGCTCGTGGTCAGGTGTTGAAACTATTAACGAAAAGATCGTAAGCTCGATAATCTCTTCGGATGATTCTTAACAGGGATGAGCCAACTGCACACTGTTTCTCATTTCTTCAACTAAGATTGGTTTCACCTACGGGAAGAGGTATCCACGGGAATCGCACAATCCTCCCCCGGGGGATTGCTCAATGAGACCAGCGACTGTGTTGTGATATTCACATAACCGAACGAAAGGAACCCGTCAGTTCCTTGTTTTGGGCAGCGAAGCTGGGTTTTAGCCCACAGTTTTTTTTTATCAAAGCTGCTTTTTGTCGAAAAAACGAAAAACTCATCTACAGGTGGGCTTAGGATGGTAGTGGCCATAATCCAGTGAGAACAAATGGGATACAACTAAGCCGTTCTGCGCCTAACCAAAATGTGGCACGCGTAAAATAACGTTTTTGTTTGAAGTTCGCCTCTTTCATACGCCAGCACACCTCATTCATCTCTGTCCCAGGAGGTTGAAAAATTTCAAACACGGTTTTCAAATCAATTTTTAAATTTTTTTCACCAAAGCGATCACTTTGGTATCGTTTTTTTACCACAACAGGGCGATTCGTAGCCACCAGGGCAACCCAATGTGTCCCACTCTTAATTCAAACAAATAGAACGTTTTACAAACTGACTTATTACAGTCTAGTTGCTTAGTTTAAAGTGCAACTAACTAATTTGGAGAATGAAACGTTTTTTGAAACTGCCATCTACGCAGTGTAGCATACCTAAAAACAGTTTACCTGTTGATGGTGGAAAAAATACTGCTACAAAATGTTTGCTGACAACCATTTGGTTTACTGCATACACCCCTAATATGTCCTCCCGATTGTCTCTGGGTGTCTTCATCTTTCGGAATACACTTCAGGGTTATCTTAAAGACAGTCTTGGAGTAATTTCGGTACTTACCGATGTAACATGTCCCTGTGGTAACTTTGTGGTTTATTGATGTGACAATAAGGTCTTCTAAAGGGTATGAACTTGTCAAATGAGCGCAACACCTGCACCGCTTTTCGGAACTCTGGGCCGACTGTGCCGTTATCGGGACGCTCATTCAATTTCCTGTACAGACAAACACCAAGCTGTTGATCATTCCTTGGAGCACGGGTGAATCTACTTCTGAACGTGAACGATGAATTGGCGAGTAGGTAAGCCGGGGCAATGAATCTCCCATTTATACCGATAACTTAGTGGAGGACGGCTTTTATGGCGGGTGAAATCGCTCGTAAGATGCCTTTACAATAATCCTAGGTCGGCTTAATGGGACTTCAAATATAACAAAAATGTCGCAGCGAACATCCCCTAGACTGCGGGCGGATACGTCGCCCAGGGCACTAAGCAGTACTCATACAAGCTATGACAACACAGGTTCAGGCACCGTTTTCGGGACCACGAGAAGTTATCTAATCAGTTCATCTGAACAAAGGATAAAGGTATACGAAAAACTGGGACGTCTCAGGTGAGCTGGAAATACTTCACTAGTTGAAGCACGAACTTTCTGACCAGGAGGTTGTTGTTCAAAATCAACTTGTGCGTTTCGAATGTTCCTTTCTAGGCTCGAAAACCCGACAGTACCTCAGCCTTCTTGCTTCCTTTGGACGCCATAGCAACTAGGCACGGAAAGGGCGTCGCAGCTGAACGTCTATTGTTTTATCATCATTGGTGCTTTACGTAGAGGCATAGAGACGGGTTGAATAAAGGGAACCAATTTTCGCGAGACACTACATGAATTTGAAGTTTCATTCTCAGGTTAATTTTGTTATGGGTGCGGGAGGTATCCCTACCATTCACCTAAACTGGAAGCCATCAAATCATCGACAATCGATAACCTACTTCTTGAACAGAATCCGCTGATTTCCGAGGTCCTCCCTCTCACCTTGGGTGATTTGCCAATACACCTGACATTCAGATGAAATGTTGCTGAAAATGTCTCAGGTTGAACGTTGTTTTCAAACGAGATAATCTCTAGAACCGAAGTATTCTCAAGGTTGGTTAAGGAAATTGGACCAGTTACTGACTTTCACAACAGGATGATTGAATCCGTATGGTGCACAAACGATTTTTAGAAGCCTGGTATGCACAGGGTGAGGTCAGATCCTCACTTCAAATGAAAGTATTTCTTCAAAACAGTCCAATTTGGGTTCAATTAGAATAAAAGGTTGACGGAAACCCGGGGACTGCGACTACCTGATGAGCCCCAAGAAGGGCGAAACCGATCGTGGGCTGTCGAAGTGTTTTCAGCAACCTTATCGATATCTTTTATTCCAAGGGGCCAAATTCCAGATCCGTAAGTATGCGATAGATTAACAGCTCGAATACCGAGCCCTTGTGCAAAGTCAAATTCTAGTTGCATCCACAAGGCATTCATGGGTTTCACATAGCGAAGCTTATCCGTTGGTTAATGTTAGACCCCGGTCATCAAGCTACTGGGACTTGCTGAGTTTCATCATCACCAATATGGTGGTTTTCACCACTTGCATTTCGTCTCACTGATTACTCATTTTTCAAAGTTACATAATACAGATAGTAGAAAATATTCGTGCTTTGAACCGGCGACAAGGTTAACATTGAAGGTCACTTTTTCACAAACTCCTGCATGAGCCCCGGCCGACGGTTTGTTGGTTTGAATGAAAAAATGCTGACGTAGTTGACAAGTCATCAGAACAAGAAGACTGGTCGGATTAGTTAGTCATGGTTGAGTGAGCCAAACTCAGATTGTGAAAAATCGATTCGTCGTTGGAACAAAGCTCGATTTTGCAGCATTTGACAAACTGTGAATATTTTTGCTTGGCTTGCGTGTTTGAATACCTAACTTTGTGACGGTCTGTGAAGGCGAGTCATTGACACTTTTCGAACACGGAGACTGAGAGCTAACTCGGAAGGAGCGGATTTGACTTGCTAGAAGAAA